GTTTTTTTTTGTTTTTTTGTTTGTCGGTTTATCCGTTTATTTAATTTTTTTGTTTGTTTACTTGTTTGGTTCAGTGTCTATTGTCTATTGATTGATTTATTTCATTTGTTTGTTTACTTGTTTGTTTCGATTTATTTGTTTATCTGTCTATTCATTTGTTTTGTTTTCTTTATTTGTTTGTTTATTTACTCATGCATTTTTTTTATGTTGATTTATATGTTTTGAAATTGATGAATTTCCATATTTAATTATTTTTTTCTTATAATTCAGTTATCATTTTTTTTCTTTTACTTGTTTATTTGTTTATCTATTTCCTTATTCATTTACTATGATTTGGTAAAATTATATGCTCTCCTTCTCGTCATCTATATTCTTTCTTTCTATCTCCGCGCTCTCTATCTCTTATCTATCTATCTATCTATCTATCTATCTATCTATCTGTCTATCTATCTATCTTCTTCCCTTTCTCTTCCTTCTCTCACTTATCCCCCTTCTCTCCCTATCTACCTTCCTTTCTCTTCCTCTCCCTCTCCTTCCTTCTCTCTCACCCTCCCTATCTCCCCTTTCTCTTCCTTCTCTCCCTCTCTCTCTCATCCTCCTTCCCTCCCTATCTCCCCTTTCTCTTCCTTCTCTCCCTCTCTCTCTCATCCTCCTTCTCTTCCTATCTCCTCTTTCTCCTCCTTCTCTCCCTCTCTCTCTCATCCTCCTTCCCTCCCTATCTCCCCTTCTTCTTCCTTCTCTCCCTCTTTCTCTCATCCTCCTTCCCTCCCTCTCTCTCTCATCCTCCTTCCCTCCCTATCTCCCCTTTTTCTTCCTTCTCTCCCTCTCTCTCTCATCCTCCTTCTCTTCCTATCTCCTCTTTCCCCTCCTTCTCTCCCTCTCTCTCATCCTCCTTCCCTCCCTATCTCCCCTTTGTCTTCCTTCCCTCCCTCTCTCTCTCATCCTCCTTCCCTCCTTATCTCCCCTTTCTCTTCCTTCTCTCCCTCCCACCATCTTCTCCATTAGTGCCCCCTAATCCCCTTCCCGCACAGCGTAGCCCTTAACAAAAGGCCTATAATCTACCTCTCCTTTCGTTAATCCTTCTAATACTTGCGTCCCATCATCGCCATTTTAGCAAAGAAATTCATTAAGCTAAGTACAATCTCTGAAAAAAGTTCCATATGCCTTCAAGCGTCTCTTAAATTTTAATCTGGGATGCCTCTTCAGTTTTTTTTTTTTTTTTTTTTTTTTTTTTTTTTTTTTTTTTTTATCGTCCCCTTTCCATCTAATTATGAAAAAAATAACGATGGAAAGAAAAGAAAAGACAAGACAAAAGAAAAGATAAGAAAAGAAAAGAAAAAAATAGGTAATTAGATAAATCAATAAATATATATATACATACATATATATATATATATATATATATATATATATATATATATATATATATATATATATATATATATACATATATACATATATATATATATATATATATATATATATATATATATATATATATATATATATATATATATATATATATATATATATATATATAATGAAACAAAGCGAGGGTCATAAGATTTATGGGTGTTGAGGTATTCAGCTATCGACTTTGTATATCTATCCCTGCAGTACATGAATATATGAATACATGCAAAATATACATATAGGTATACTTATATGCACACGCATTTCACTCATGTTATATATGTTATAAAGAGAGACAGACAGACAGACAGACAGATAGACAGACAGACAGACAGACAGATAGATATATTGATAGACAGGTAGATATAAGCAATATATATCAATCCCCGAATTATAAGGAATCCGTTGCCGTGTCCGATTCTAACCCGAATTCCTCCCCTTGCATCCGGACGCGATTGGCTCAGACTTAGGCTTAAGGTAAAATAATACGAATGGAGAACGAGAGAGAGAGAAGGGGTGGGAAGGGAGAAAAAAAGAGGGGGGGAAAGAAAGATGTATAGCACGAGAAAGCAATCAAATTAATCGGAACCTAACCGAAGCACGCATCCTCTAGATTGGCCTCACTGCCCAAGTGGGTAAAGTTTGCTTCCTTTTTGCCTCACTGACTTCACACGAGACAAATTGTCCCTTGGCTCCGCGTCTCGAGGATTTAGAGGGAGCCGGCGCCGGAATCGCTGTTCAAGATATTGTGTGCTTTTTTTCTAGGATTTGGCGGAGGTTTTTTTTTTTTTTTTTTTTTTTGAAAGGATTTGGTTGAGTTCCTTTTCTTTTTTCCTTTTTTTTTTTAAGGATTTGGTTGAGTTCTTTTTCTTTTTTCTTTTTTTTTTAAGGATTTGGTCGAGTTCCTTTTCTTTTCTTTTCTTTTTTTTCTTTCTTTTTTTTTTTTTTCTTTTTCTGGAAAGGATTTGGTCGAGTTCCTTTTCTTTTCTTTTCTTTTTTTTTTTCTGGAAAGGATTTGGTCGAGTTCCTAGTTTCCTCCCTGTTCATTCGCTGTTCAAAATCCGACGATAAAATGACCACATAAATCGTCAGTGTTGAACGGGGTCGCCCTTGTTCACGCGGTTTCCTTTCTTCTTCTTTCTTCTCCTTTCTTCTCTCTTCTTCTTCTCCTTTCTTCTCCTTTTCTCTTCTCCTTCTCATTTCTTCTCTCACCTTCTCTCTTATTAATATTATTATTATTTTCTTCTTCTTCTTCTTTCTTCTCACTTTTCTTCTTCTTCTTTTCCTTCTTTTCTTCATCTCCACCTCCTCTTTCTCTTCCTCTTCTTTTTTTCTTTTTCTTTCGTCTTCTTATTTCTTCTTCTCCTCCACCTTCTCCTCCTCCTCCTCTTCTTCCTCCTTCTCCTCTTCATCCTCTTCCTCATCCTCCTCCCCCTCCTCCTCCCCCTCCTCCTCATCCTCATCCTCCTTATCCTCACCCTCATCCACCTCCTCCTACTCCTCCTAGTTTTCCTCTCGCTCTTTCTCCTCCTCCTCCTCCCCCTCCCCCTCCTCCTCCTCCTCCTCCTCCTTCTCCTCCTCCTCCTCCCCCTCCTCCTCCTCCTCCTCCTCCTCCTCCTCCTCCTCCTCCTCCTCCTCCTCCTCCTCCTCCTCCTCCTCCTCCTCCCCCTCCTCCCCCTCCTCCTCCTCCTCCTCCTCCCCTCCTCCCCCTCCTCCTCCTCCCCCTCCTCTCCCTCCCCCTCATCATCATCATCATCCTCATTCTCACCCACTTCCTCCTCCTTCTTTTTTTCTGCTCCTTTAACAGCAAGATCAGAAATATGTAAAATTTACGAGGTCGGCGAGCGCGGAATGTAAGGAAAATATTGTAGCGCCGTCGAGTGAAAAATTGTTAAGCTTAAACCGTCTTTGTGTCAACTTTGTGTATCCACTTTCCGCGTACGTGTGATAAGAAATGTAAACAGCATTTAAATATACAACCCTTTCAGGAAATGTCAGCATTCTTGACTCAAATTGTAATTTCTCGTCTTTAAAACCACTCTGGAGTTCCGTAAAAAAAATAAATAAAATAAATAAAAAAAAAAAATGTTCCGTTCAAAAGGAAGGTTCAAAAAGAAAGGAAAAACGGGAAAAAAAAAACCTGTTTGTGTATTTGCTTTTTCCTTTTGTTAGTTCCGTGTACGCTCGCTCTGACTTATATATTCATCTTAGAGACTATGGTATCAGATTAATTATACTTGGCTTTCGACGGTAATAATGTCTGAGATGTTGATCTTCTTTCTCTCTCTCTCTCTCTCTCTCTCTCTCTCTCTCTCTCTCTCTCTCTCTCTCTCTCTCTCTCTCTCTCTCTCTCTCTCTCTCTCTCTCTCCTTCTCTCTCTTTCTCTTTCTCTTTCTCTTTCTCTCTCTCTCTATCTATCTATCTCTCTCTCCCCTATTCTCTCTCTCTTTTCTTTTCTTTTTCTCTCTCTCTTACTCGTCGACACTTTTCGAAAGTTTGTCCAGTGAGGCCAGATCTCTCCCTAAGTAGGTGCTTCAAGATCCTGTACCCTGTGAGCTTCGCAATACGCCAGACAGTTACGAAATCCCTTCCTCCTGTTTTCCGTGTCTTTCTCTTTCTGTTTCGTTTACTCAAAAAAAGAAAAAAAGAAAAAAGATTACCAAAGAAACTTGAATTTGTATTTTGTGTCTATACGTATAGGTATTTTCCTTTTGTAAAGACGTATACTTATGCATAATACATAATCCATACATGTATACGTTCATACATACAAACATTCATAAATACATACATAGATACATACATCATACATACATACATACTTACATGAATATAAACATACAGACAATACGGCAGACTGCTACAAAATCCCAACCCTCCATTTTCTTTTTCTCTTTTTCCTTTTTTTCTCTCTCTCTTTCTTTCTTCTTTTGAAAAAAAAAGTAATCTACAAAACACATGCATACATACATACATACATACATACATACATACATATATACATATGTACATATACACAATGTACATGCATACATTCCTACACATTCATACACATGCATACATATGCACATGTATGTATACTTATTAATATATATAACCATACATTTATATCTATTAGACATTATTATAGTTACTATTATTGCTATCATTATAATTATTATTATTGTTTTTGTTTTATTATTATTATTATTATTATTATTATTGTTATTATTATCATCACTATTATTATTATTATTATTATCATTATTATTATCAATGTCATTATTATTGTTATTATTATTTTATTTCTTACTGGTATTGTCTATATATTATTTTCATTATAATCATCATTACTGTTCTTATCATTATTATTATCATTATCACTATCAATATCATTAATATCATTATTGCCATTAACTTTATTATTATTATCTTTAAAAGTTTTATCATCATTATTAAACGTTATCATCATTATCGTTGTTATTATTATCATTATCATCATCATCATCATCATCAATATCACCATCACCATTAACATCATCATCATCATCACCATCATCATCATTATTACAACTACTAACAACCCCTCCCTTTCCTTCCTTCCTCAG